AGTGAGTGTCGCTGATTGTGCGTTTTATATATCTAAATTCTTCCTGGCACACGTGAGCGTGTCTTTATTATCCACACAGAGCACTTCAGCTCCCCCTAAATATCATCCACATCACAAAGATCACTGGGTTATTAAATCACCACATGGCTTTAGCCTGCAGGAGAAACGCTACTTATATAAAAAATAATAGTTACTGCAGGAATTCTACTCTACAGGAGACAATAAAGGTAGAAATGCAGCAAACTAAAAAGTAATAAATATATAAAACACAAAATAATATAGATAAAAAAAAATAGTAAATAAGAAATAAGTTAACAAAATGAGTGTGGAGAAACCAGACACACTAGCACAAATTAAATAAGTTTGCTGTAACTCACATTTGTAATAAATAAATGCATAAACAAAAAAGTAAGCACCAACAAAACTGACTATATAACTGAAATAATGTAAAATAATAATAATGATAATAAATAAAATTAGCACAAATCTGACAAATAAGCACAAATGACACTAGGTGTTTCCTGTCTACAGTGAAAAATATGAATGAAATAAGCAAAAACAAACTACACTGTTAGAAATAAAGGCTCTGTGCAGGTACAGTTTTCATTAATTGAGGTACAAACAGTGTAAATGTTCCCTCAAAGCTCCTACAGTGGTTTTAAGGTCTGATTGTGAACCTTCAATAAGTTTTTCCAGGTGAAAAGTTCGTATTTGTACCTTTTCATAACCGAATGTTTTAAACAGAACAGTAAAATAAAGTCCTGGAGACGAGACGGGGTGTGTGGAGTCAGTACAGCTTAGAACATATCATTTCAGTGGATTATGGTTCAGTTATGTTCCCTGACTAAAGGAACTGAGATGGACCCCTGAGGGTTCCACCCCAGTGACGAGAGTGGAACTGACCCAGCGACAGTTTAGTACCTTTATTTCTGAGAGTGTAGACGATTATGCACAAAAAGTGAATAAGAATTAGAGTGAATAAAAAAATTTAAATAAAAAGAAATTAGTAATAAGTAAATAAAAGCCCAAATTAAATATGCACATAAGTCTCTGTAACCTTAATCTGTTTTTGTGAATTTTTTATTTTTTTAACTTAACACCAGTGCGGTTGGGGGGGGGGTGGGTGGAGAACCTGGTGGGGTTCTAGCAAGCGGTCATATTTTATAGGTAAACTCACACACTAAAAAAAACCTCTCTCGTATTACAGCAGCGCCACTGAGCCGGCAAACCACACACACACACACACACACACACACACACTCGCACTCTCTCTCCTGACCTGCAGTGACCTATCAGATTCCGCCGAGTGAGCGCTACTTTCAAACAGTCACCGTCAGACACACACTCCCTCTGATTGGTCCAACCCACCACACCACCAAATCCAGCCAATCAGAGCGAGGTTCGAGCTACACTACCCCCTTCCCCACCCCCGCCACGCTTCCTCACGCTGACTCACAGTGGAAGATGCAAATACGGCGCGGCTTTAATTCAGCGTTCATTTCGGGAAGTGAAACTAACCTTACAGACAAACTGATCGATCACAGTAGTGAACTGCGGGTTTCATATCGGCTGTTTGTCAATCAGATGTGTATCTGTTTTTACTTTAGAATCAGAATCAAGCTTTATTGGCCAGGTACTGGCCAACAAGGAGTTTGGTTTTGGTTGCAGGAGCTCACAGTGCACAGTACCAGACAGACATTAACATGTAGTGAATAAAATAAAATAAATATAAAATATAACAAAATAAAATAAAATATGCATTCCTACCATCACTCACTCAAACACACACACACACAGTCATACCTGTAAACCTTACATTGTGCAAAGTATGGGTCTAAAGTTAAAGTGCTGAGTGCAGCAGCAGTTAAAGGGTGTATATACTTTATGACTAAACGTTAAATATTTCAACAATTAAGATTCATGATCGTTTTAAAGCGTCCAAAGCTCAGCGGCTCCGTTCACACGGGAAAGCACGACCGAGTAACCACTGAGTATCTTCATTGATTAGAGATGGTGGTCACTCAACCACAAAGGGCTTGACCGAGGCAGGAAAGGTGCTTTATTTCAGTCATCACTAGAGCTATTTCTACATTTCTGTTATCTTGCACAAGACCACCTCTTCATTTCCAATTTCAACAAGGACACCTCGGGCGATTTTCCACCGCTCATTCAAAATCAAGAAGTGATCCAAACGGAACAAACTAGACTCAGCTGGTCGGAAAATTCAGCCTTTTTGTTCATTGTACGCAAATATTAACTGTCCTATTATCTTTAGGGTCAATCTGACCCCATTCAATGTACAATGTCTCTAAATAAATGAACATCATTTTTGCCTCATACTGAATGACTTTCCCTAATTCAATGGGGAAAACAGTACAACACATAAAATTAACAAGATGATATGTTTTCAGTGTCCTGTACACATTTTGTACACATCGTTGTCCTTCAGGGTCAGTTTGTGTTTTTGCAGTGGGGGGGTTTGGAGGATCTGGTGGAATTATGGTAAGCTGTCATGTTGTTATAGGTAAACTCACTCACTAAAAACACCCTCTCGTATTACAGCAGTGTCACTGTGCTGGCAAACCACACACACACACACACACACACACACTCACGCACTCTCTCTCCTGACCTGTAGTGACCCCTCAGAATCTGCCCTGTAGTGACCTATCAGAATCTGCCCTGTGAGCACCCAGACTGCTTTAGCTGTATAAAGCTAAGAAATATCAACATTTTACACACCTCTGTTTTGAGATCACTAGGACACACAATTTTATAATCTTCAAAAAACTTCCCATTTAGGGCCCCCACACCTGTAACACACCCAACCCAGCATAACCACACCTGTAACACACCCAACCCAGCATAACCACAGCTGTAACACACCCAACCCGACATAACCACAGCTGTAACACACCCAACCTGACATAACCACAGCTGTAACACACCCAACCCAGCAAAACTACACCTGTAACACACCCAACCCGACATAACCACAGCTGTAACACACCCAACCCAGCATAACCACAGCTGTAACACACCAAACCCGACATAACCACAGTTGTAACACACCCAACCCAGACATAACCAGAGTTGTAACACACCCAACCCAGCATAACCACAGTTGTAACACACCCAACCCAGCATAACCACAGCTGTAACACACCCAACCCAGCATAACCACAGCTGTAACACACCCAACCCGACATAACCACAGCTGTAACACACCCAACCCAGCATAACCACAGCTGTAACACACCCAACCCAGCATAACCACAGCTGTAACACACCCAACCCGACATAACCACAGCTGTAACACACCCAACCCGACATAACCACAGCTGTAACACACCCAACCCGACATAACCACAGTTGTAACACACCCCAACCCAGCATAACCACAGCTGTAACACAGCTAACCTAACAAAACTACACCTGTAACACACCCAACCCAACATAACCACACCTGTAACACACCTACCCTAACATGACCACACCGGCTCTAGTTCATTTTCCAGCTGCTTGAGAGACCATCAAAATTAACTGATTAACAATTTAATTGTCTTTTGGGTCATTGGATGCCACGCTAAAACTAATGTGGCTAATTAGCTACCTCACTTGCTATTTATCTAGTTGTGCTGAAAGGAACCTGTGCACTTCACTGTTCTGCGCTCACACACACCTCACAGACATGTTCACACTTACACAGAATCGTGTGTAGAATCAAACAAAACTTAGTCTTCCCTGATAAGTGTGAACATACGAGCAAAATCCCTTGTTCTGTGAAGGCTAGCATGAATGCTAACAATGTTAGCGTTAGCCTCCTAACTAGCTTAATGTCACCTTGGCAAATTCACAAAGTAATAATTCTCAAAGCCATTTTTCAAATTTTCAATTCTCAAAGCCATTTATTCACTGTTCTAGTTCACATTCTGGAGCTCTTATTGGTGAAGCAATACTGCTTTATGAGTTTATTTTCACTTGGAAGAGTAAAATTCAGCTAAATTGTTGTTAGCTTCAGCTACAAGTGTTAGCAAAGACCGAGAAGAACACAGTTAGGTGCCATTAGTTGGTACGGATCTTGAAGCCTTCAGACTTCAGCCTACACCATTAACAGGACTGGATCGGGTTTGTTGTTTTAATCCTCCAATATCTGATTCAGTCAATCAAATCATTTCCAATAGCAGGGCTAAACTAAACAACCAGTAAAGCAGGAGCAGCTGTTTGGTGAATCGGGCAAGGAGGAAAATGTAATCACTTCTAGACTCTGACGTACATGCCAACTCAAATCCCACCACACCCCATCGCGCCACACTCTCACACTACCATGGGCTCTGTTGCCATGGTTACTACCCGTATCTCTGAATCAAAGAACAGAGATGGGAAGTTTTCCCCTCCGAATATCCACACACTCTTCACCCTTCCTCTGGCATTCTTTCATTGGCATTCAGACCGCAGGAACATGAGTTACCAAACAGCTGTGACGCATCATGAGCCAAACGGGGAAAAAAAGGGTGGATGAGGCGATGCAGTGATAAGAAGAAGCATAAAAATAAATAAAAATGTTAAAAAATTGCACGGATGAATGTCACAGACTGCAACTTTCACACCTTTTTCATTCTGTTGCATTGCTGGCACAAAACTTTAACATGGGAACCTCGTAGAAGAAATGAGAAAAGTACATTACTTTCCATTAATGTCCACTAAAATAAAGAGACTTATTAATTTTTTTACATAGTTTTAAAGATTTTTTTTTATATAAAAGTAATGAAATGACAACCTGTTTGGTGCCTTTATGAAGTAAGTGTAGAGGCGTCTTTTTGCAAATTTAAGCATTTAATAATCCTTTTTTTTTGGCAATTTGAAACACTGAGTCTTATTTTAAAAAAATGCTAAAAGGGAACCCTACAAATTTTTGCTAAATTTCTGCAAAATTAAATGCTTAAGATGTAAACGGAGTTGTTCAGAGTGGTTTGGTGTGAAGAGCTCTGTCCTAGAGAAACTTAACCAGTGATAGGATCCAGACGTCCACCTCTACATGCTCCCTGACATAAAGTTATTACATGAAATGGTTATGAATTCACTGCCTGATGTCTGAGACACTGTTTTTTATGATAGTTTTCAGTAATTTTAAAATCCATTCATGGTGGAGGGATGCATGCAGGCTGATATGAGGAAAAATAGTCCCCAAAGAAAACTTATTATTCCAGATTTTCCACTATTTTCCATCATCAACATTCCATATAAACTCAGAAGACTCGTGTTGGTTCACTGGTGGCTCTGGATAGTAAATAAAATGTCTATATTAGAGTTGTAGACATGGTGACCCCTGGTTCCTATCACCACCACTGTAAAGACATCTGAACCATTTCTCACGAAACCGCTCTGAATTACTCTGTTTACATCTCGTACAATCAATTATGCAGGAATTTGGAAAAATCGGTGGAATTCCCCTTAGGGTTAGGATGGTCCTCCATCATTTAGTGCAATGTTCCGACTGTCATTAGCAGTTAGTGTCCTCCTCCAAGTGTGTTGAGCCCCAATAATGTGTTGGCAGCAGTTTGTGAAGATGTGGAGGAGCTTTACATGCATGTTAGCCTTTACACTCCCACTGTGCAATAGAAGGAGACCTAGCAAGCTGTTGGAAGAAAAAATAAGTAAATAAACGTAAGAATATGTGGAGCTCACCAGGGCATCATTCGGCCGTGACGTGTCCAAGGACTCCTGCTCACCATGAAGCCGACAGTGGGGTCAGTCACAGCGTCCCAAGCCCTCCCAACGAACAGGATTATAGATGCATAGAATGGGTCCAACTGCGCGCGGGCGCGCGAGAGAGAGAGAGAGAGAGAGAGAGAGAGAGAGAGAGAGAGAGAGAGAGAGAGAGAGAGAGAGAGAATCATTTTTTCAACAAAAAAAAATATTTAAATGAAACTAGAGTGAAAAGATAAATATGAAGAAGACTGAAGTTATAACAACAAGAAAGATGGCTGACTTTTCCAGCTTTTGCCTACTTGGATCATTTATTAAAGATCTAGCATTCAAGAAATGCGACAGAGATCTGCGCTCAGCAGGACAAGGATGAAGAAGCTTGTAAAGATCTTCAAATGCAACGATTTGTCTGTAAAAACAAAGATCAGAACCGTCCAGGCTTTGGTTTTGTTCTGTGGTTCTATGGATGTGAAAGCTGAACAGCAAACAAGTGAGACTGAAAAAATATAGATGTCTTTGAACTTCGGAGTTCGTGAATATTTGAGAGTTCCTCTCCTTCGATGGCAAAGAACCCAAACAGCTGTGGTTAAACATCCTCAAACAAATCCGGCCTCACTTCTCACTCGAGGCCTCACTGTGGATACATGCTGAGAAAAACCTCACTGTTGGGCCTTTGAGCGAGGCACTTAACCCTTTCTGCTCCAGAAGCACTGTATCTTGGCTGACCTGCGCTCTAACCCCAGGTTTTTAAGCTGGGATGCGCAAAGAAAGGAATTTTGTTGTTCTGTGCAAGTGTTTAAGTATAACGACAAAAATGTACTTAACAACAACAACAACAACACAACACAACAACAACAACAACAACAACAACAAAAAAAACTTTAATCAGAATCAAACAAAAAAATAACCCAAGAATTAATGATTTTAAACGAGGGGCACAATGGGGTCACGTCAGGGGACAGAAATGGTTACATTTTAATGAAAAGTAATCACCCTGGTGGGAGAGGAGGGGCGAACTGACCGTGCCGGACGGTGGAGATATAATTGTGTAACAGTGTAAATCAGCAGGAGGTGGAGTGGAGGCGCAGGACTGAGTTATTGGTGCTGAAGGCTGCTAAAAGTTAATGTACCACACATAAAAACACTGATACAAAGGCTGAAATGGCCGTTTCTGTTGCTCTGACTCCCACTGAGCGTGTATGTTGGTGTGTGTGAGAATCAGCAGGAGTGCGAAAGTGAGAACTGAACCAAAATTAATAATCAGCACACAATGGAGCCTCTCAGAGACAAAAAGCCTTTAACGTCACCACGGAGGGAAAATGTTATCATCCGTATGTAAATATAAACTGGAGTAAATATGCAAATGACAAACCTAACGAACTTCCTTATGGAACAGGCAAGAGTTGCAGCCAGACTGAGGCTGCGTTACAGAGAGGAAGAACAATTAATCAGCAAAGTCTTCATTAGTCATCACCAACGCCAGCTATGGAAAAAATATGCAGTTTCATTTAAAAAGCGCTCTATAAAATGATCCACACAGTCGTTCTGACAGACTGTAATACACTACAGGAAGTGTAGGGGGCGATATAGCTTCTACTGTTTCATTTATAATGCTCGTATGATGAAGACGAAGACACTTCAGGTCGTTCCATCAGAAATCATGACTTTTTTTTATTTCTGTTTATAACAAATATTTCCCAAGTTAGCCTACAGGCTACTGTTATTATATCACATTATTGGCATTAAGTTATCAGGCTGAGCTACACTAAACTGTCTATTCTAAACAGGCCTCGCATTTATTATCTTTTTAAAAACTATAAAAATATCAGATTGAACTGATCTGTTTTAGCCAAACCACAGTAAGACGTGCTGCTCCAGAATGCTGTTTATTTTCCTCTTCTGATGACTGTCAGTCAAAGATACATTACTATATAAAAGTAAACAGATTATGTGACAAATACGATTTATTTTTGTACACCTTTAAGCTATGGATAGCTTGCTGTCTGGCTTTTAAGTTAGTGATGCAGTGATATGGATTTGATACCTGATAATTAGCACTTTGTTGTGGCTAACACTGATATCTATAACCTCATTTGACCTTTTTTGCATTTAAAAACAAATTCACACTACACTATATTACATGCAATGAGTCCAAAACAGGTTAAAAGATGGATCATGGGTCTTAATCAGCCACTTCTTGAGGAATTATTGTACCTTTTTTTATTATTTTATGTAAACATGTATACATTATTTAGTAGGCACTATTGTGTAGAACATTTCTCTTCACTACCCAAATGTTCTTAATGTGGTGTGCTTTACTGGAAGGGTTAATAATCCCTGAACCCTGATCCTTGTTTGTCATTATCACTATGCTATCCATTTGCATGGATACGGATCCCCTTTTTGCACTGTAAAGGGAAGATGTCACACGTGATAAACTATTAGTTATTTATCGGCCCGATAATCTTGATGTTTTCCCCTCATTTGTCAGCATATGTCAGCCAGACTTGAGCAAAATACCAGACTGGAGCACTAAAGCTGGTAAATGTAAACACAGCCCGAGAGGGGTGGCCTCACCTGAGCCACGTCCAGCAGGTAGATTTGCAGGAAGAAGCCCAGAGCGCTTCCTGTAATCTGATATGGCGCTCCTCCGATGGCATAACACAGTTTACTGCATATGGAGAGATTCTTATTCGTCTTCTTTTCCTTCTCCTTCTGAAACAGAGAGAGATAAAAAAGGAAATATGAGGAGGATGAGAAATCAGAAAAGATAATAATAAAAGGGCGAAAGAAAAACAAAAAACAAAAAAGCAGTTCAGGTTGGATTATTTGCAGCACTTGTTCTCCATATTTACATAAGAGTGTTCTACAGTATCGGGATTCAGCGTGAGAACCCGCCCTGAGCAGCTGGACACCTTTGAGCGCTCCATTAAGACAGAAATGTGATCACACACTCGGCCCAGAACACCTCGTCTCCAACAGCGGCAGGACAGAAATGTCTTTATCAGGTCTGAAAGTGCATGAGAACTCCTGAAGATGGTAGAGATAAGCGAGAGTCGATGGACACGTTTGCTTGCAGTGCCACAGCTGGACCTGGGTGATAAAACGCTTAATAAAATGATTCATGATGATTAGTATCATCAGATAACTTTTTTTTTTTAATTATCAACATCCAACTGATGCTTAGATTTCACTGCCAAATTAAAACTATTTATTTAAATATTTATTGCCCTCCAAAAGAGCAGGAAGGGATATTGTGCTAAAATATCTGCACTGTATTAATTTTACAGCATTCATAACACGTCAGAAATAAAACCTATATTTCTCTCTAATGCTAATCCAGGAAGGTTTAGTCCCAATTTATACATTTTATAAATGCATGTGTATCGGCATCCACATCAGCAGATATGTACGTGAACAATATCAGATACTGGCTCAATGATTATTATCAAACTTTTTCTTCAAAATCAATCATGGACATTTGAGGTATTTCTTCAAAATAATATTCAGTCCAATTTTAAACCCTATAGAGAATATTTAGTCAATATTTGAACCCTATAGAGAAAATTTAGTTCAGATTTAAACCCTATAGAAAATATTTAGTCCAGATTTAAACCCTATAAAGAAAATGTAGTCCAGATTTAAACCCTATAAAGAATATTTAGTCCCGATTTAAACCCTATAAAGAATATTTAGTCCAGACTTAAACCCTATAGAGAATATTTAGTCCGAATTTGAACACTATAGAGAATATTTAATCCGGATTTGAACACTATAGAGAATACTTAATCCGGATTTTAGCCCTATAAAGAATATTTAGTCCAGATATAAACCATATAGAAAATATTTAGTCCAGATTCAAACCCTGTAGTGAATATTTGGTCACATGTTAACCACAAACTAGCTCAGCAGTGTTTTTCAGCTGTCTGAAGCCGTCAATGCTGAGTGGATCAATACTGACTCTTCTTTCTGTAAAAGACTGTCTGCAAATTTACACACTAAACTCAAAACATTTAAAGAAATCAAAGAGAAAAGCTCTCTCATGCTAACTTGTTGCATCTTATCTTGTGTATTATGCGTTTAATTCTTGCTAACTTACTGACTAATGATTTGTTGTCAACACCAATAAACGCTTTAATAAGAGCTTTAATAACTGATCAGCTGATGTAGTTTTGTCACTCAGAAATAACAGACTGAAATAGTTTTACTTAAACTGTAATACGGTTGTCAACTGTCAAGTTTCTTCAACTCAAACTGTTGCTGAGATGTTGTTCTTATGTAACATTTAAAGTGACATCATCTGTGCGATACTGGCAGGGTTTCCACCAATGCTGATGAACGGGGAATCTTAATTGTGGTCAATTTTTAATTGGTCAGACATAATCAGAGACTTTGGTCAGTCTTAATCTGGCCTCATTAGCCACAGTTTTATTCTGTAACTTTCTGCATTCCAGCCGTGATCGTAACAAGGACGGGCATTGTGAATTTCTGTGATCGCTATTCAAGTATTTGATCACAAACCCCTGTAACAACATCGTCCAACAAGCCCACGCTCAATAGCATTAGGCGCCAAGGTCACTAGAGTTCACCCAGATGGTGGTACTAGGACTCTCTGATTGGCTGCTGTGTCTCATTCCGACACTGTGATTGGCTGCTGGTGTGGTATGTTGGGTCCCACAAGCACACCACTAGTTCACAGTGTGGTAAACAGGAATTTTACTTCATTCCACCAATCGCTCGCCCTTTTCCTTCCACGGACCAATCACAGCAAAGGTCCCACCTACTGTAAACCAATGGCAGACAGTACTGAGACTGAGCCGTGCAAAGCCTCTTAGCTTCAAGACTGAAGTCTGAAAGCTGATGAAGAATGTAGACATTTCCAAACACGGCCACTCAACAACGTGCAGGTCCACACTGAGCGTTTTACTCTGCGACAAACCAATATAAACAACTCGGACAACATGCGTCTCACAGCTTTAAATGAATTTAGAGGCAATCTAAACCACTTTTAGTAGTTTTTTTGGAAAGTAAGCAAATGCATAGACCAAAAAACATCAATTAGCCATTGACAGCGTTACAAAATAAATAAAAGCAAGTAGGGCTTGCAAGTGGAATATCTAATTGCAATTTTCCTGGCCAATAGCGTGAGTGCGATTTAAATTGTAATTATTGTCAATAAATTAATGTTCAGGCCTGTTATTTTGGCCAAGAAGAACAAAATGCTGTACACACAGTCATTCTGACAGACTGTAATACACTACAGGAAGTGTAGGGGGCGATATGGCTTCTACTGTTTCATTTAAAAAGCTCTATAATGTTCATATGATCCACACAGTCACTCTGACAGACTGTAATACACTACAGGAAGTGTAGGGGGCGATATGGCTTCTACTGTTTCATTTAAAAAGCTCTAGAATGTTCATATGATCCACACAGTCACTCTGACAGACTGTAATACACTACAGGAAGTGTAGGGGGTGATATGGCTTCTACTGTTTCATTTAAAAAGCTCTAGAATGTTCATATGATCCACACAGTCACTCTGACAGACTGTAATACACTACAGGAAGTGTAGGGGGCGATATGGCTTCTACTGTTTCATTTAAAAAGCCTCTATAATGTTCATATGATCCACACAGTCACTCTGACAGACTGTAATACACTACAGGAAGTGTAGGGGGCGATATGGCTTCTACTGTTTCATTGCAGTATAAAAAGAAATCATTTAATCACACTGATTGAACTAATACAGCAATATTCCACTGTAGTATGAGAAGAATGGCAGTGCAAAGTGAGTGCAAACCACATACAGCATAACAGTTTGATTAGTCAATTTAATTACAAATAATCTGAAGCAATAGAAATAAAAAATAATCTGTTGTCACAGTTTTACTACAGGAGTGCATGTGAGAAGCCCATATTTACTATATGAAACACGCCAGTACCTCTAATGGCACTGTCCAGTGAAGGTCGTAAAGGTCACGACCCCTATAACTTTTAGGCTGTGGCAAGTGTGCTCGGCTTTGCAGAGGAATCAGAATGGCCACCGTCCACACCCTGTGTCCACTGAAAAGTCTTACTGTAGGCTTAGTCAAGAATCTGAGCCCCATTTCCACATTTCTCCGCGCTTGTAAGAACTCAAATCCTGTGATGCAATCATTAATACAACTATTAGCACAATAACAGACTGAGGTTTTGTTGGTAGGAGTCTCTACTAACACACAGTTTACAATAATAAACCATATCCCTGTAAATTTTCCAACTGCACAGACCGTTTTAATGTTAAAGCAAATGACCTTTTTTGGTTTTAATTCAAACCCACACTGTTAGTAATAAAGGTTCTGTTCAGGTACATTTTTCGTTCATCAAGGTACAAACTGTGTAAATGTTCCCTCAAAGGTTCAACAGTGGTTTAAGGTCTAATTGTGAACCTTAAATAAGTTTTTCCAGGTGAAAAGTTCGTATTTGTACCTTTTCATAACCAAATGTTTTAAAACAGATCAATAAAATAAAAGCCTGGAGACGAGACGGGGTGTGTGGAGTCAGTACAGCGGATTATGGTTCAGTTATGTTCCCTGACTAAAGGTACTGACATGGAGCCTTAAGGGAACCACCCCAGTGACAAGAGGGGCACTGACCCAGTGACAGTTTAGTACCTGTATTTCTGAGAGTGCACTCTACTAAGACCGCATTAACTGTAATAGTACGACCACACCCTTCCTTTAGAGGCCAGGGTAGAACTGAAATCAACCTCAAACGTATTTTAAATCCATTATTTTAACTAAATTAACCTCATATACAAGTTCTTCACACACTGAAATCCCAAAAAATGGTTTGTATTTGTTCTTACGATGCTCTGGCGACTAAATTTGTGCCCAAATTTTGCATTTGCACCCATACTGGCCAACGTTACCAATTCCATTATATACACCGATCAGGCATAACATTATGACCACCTCCTTGTTTCTACGCTCATTGTCCATTTTATCAGCTCCACTTACTATATAGGTGCACTTTGTAGTTCTACAGTTACAGACTGTAGTCCATCTGTTTCTCTGATACTTTGTTAGCCCCCTTTTACCCTGTGCTTCCGTGGTCAGGACCCCCATGGACCCTCACAGAGCAGGTACTGTTTGGGTGGTGGATCATTCTCAGCACTGCAGTAACACTGACGTGGTGGTGGTGTGTTAGTGTGTGTTGTGCTGGTCTGAGTGGATCAGACACAGCAGTGCTGCTGGAGTTTTTAAACACCTCAGTGTCACTGCTGGACTGAGAATAGTCCACCAACCAAAAATACCCAGCCAACAGCATCCTGTGGGCAGCGTCCTGTGACCACTGATGAAGGACTAGAGGATGACCAACACAAACTGTGCAGCAGCAGATGAGCTATCGTCTCTGACTTTACACCTACAAGGTGGACTGACAAGGTAGGAGTGTCTAATAGAGTGGACAGTGAGTGGACACAGTGTTTAAAAACTCCATCAGCCCTGCTGTGTCTGATCCACTCGTGTATTATATCTCATCTAAACAGAAACATACACCACAAACAGTTTTTAAGGATTTGCTGCATTTTAACCTCAATATCTGACCTCACCCTGTGGTTATTCTGCAGGATGGACACCATCCATCTCTCTGGGATTCTGGGGAATCTCCAGCTCATATCTATTAGCTCACCATTAGCTTCAGAAGATCTTGATTAGCTGGAGTTAAGTGTAACAGATCAGGGCTGGAGATAAAGCTCTGGCGCCACTAAAGGCTGTGTGAGAATGAGAAACGCTCGATAACAGAAAACAGAAGGTTCTAACTGATGGATCTGATCATGCTGGAACTTAACCCTGAAGATTCTGGTCATGACAGCTGAAAGTGAGTCACATAAACGAGGGAAAACGAGCTGTAATTCACACCTCTGAACATCAGTTCCTGTAATCAAGCAGCACTTTGGATTAAAAGAGGCTGGAAAAGGTTCACAAAGACATCCATAATCAGACCATACGATCATAAAACTGAGCAAGAAGATGAGACATGAGTAATTTCATGCTGACATGGTTCTTTACATGAGGAAATGGTTCTTCAGATTGATGAGACTGCATTGCATATAGTTCTGTATAGAACCTTTTAAACAATAGTCCTATATAGCACCAAAAAAGGTTCTTCTATCGTTACAAGCTTGACTTCGCAACTACAGCGGAACCCTTTTAGGTGCTATACAGAAACATTATTAAAAAAAGATCTTCAAAAGGTAAAGCAAAAAGGCTCTCTAAAGAACCACGAACACTCAAGGAACCCTCTGCATGATGAAATGGTTCTAGATTGATGGAGAATGTGCTGTCGATGGTTCTATCCGGAACTTTTTTTGAAAAAGCTTGATATCATAACAAGAGAAGAACCTTTTTGGGTGCCATACAGGACCCTTTTCTTAAATGTTCTAGATGTAACCATCTACAGCACATTCCGAAAAACCCTTTCCCCCCATGCAAAAGAACCCTGTAATCATGCAAAGGGTTCTTTGAGTGTTCAGAGTTAAAACCCTTGAAGAACCATCTTTTTAAGAGTATATAACTTACACCACATTCTCCATCGATCTGAGGGACCATTTCACCACGCAAAGAACCATTTAGGCATACAAATGGCTGTACACAGAACTCATGGTTCTAAAGAGAACCCTTTTCATTACTAAAGGAACCATTTTTTACAAGAGTGAAGTTTATAAAGGGGAAAAATCAGGTTATTTCTAGGCTGGAAATCAACTCTTTCGCTATGAATGAGGTGTGTTGAGCTCACACACACACACACTCAGCTGAAGCCGGGTGCCACATGCTCGTGTCCACGTTGACTAACACTGTACCCCCCTAAAAACAAACTTAAGTCCATTTCTGCTGAAATAAATCAGGTATTAAACACAATAAAACACTAAAAACACCTACATGTGTTTAACATTTGCTCCTGAGATGCGATTCTGGTACTACAGCCATTAAATGTAGCTCGTTTTGCTCCCTGACTATCACTCTGTTCCACACAGAGCAGACAGCGCAGAGCATCAGGCGTCGTTAACAGCGGCTTGTTTGATGTGTTTATGTGATTCTTTGCTGGTTACCTTGGCGCTTTTGATTCCATCTGGAGTTATAGGTTTCACCGAAGGCAGCAGAGTGGACGGAAACTGCTCAGCCCCCTCTCCTCTCGCCATCTCAGACTGGATCTTGTCCGAATATCCTCCGTGTTAAAGCCCAGTTCAGCTCTCACTGTCTGAGTTCAGCTCTCACTGTCTAAGTTCAGCATCAGACGAAACCGTTAACAAAACGCGGCTCGAGCTCTTTCCTTTCCGCTCTTTGAATAAAACGTCAGACCACGCCTTCCTCACGCCATGCCGCTTTGATTGGCAGACGCAGCCCTCGCGCTCAGAAGGTGATTTAGTCATTTTAATTAGCTTCATGTATATATATATATGAAGCTAATTAAAATTAGGTGGTGGATCATTCTCAGCACTGCAGTAACACTGACGTGGTGGTGGTGTGTTAGTGTGTGTTGTGCTGGTCTGAGTGGATCAGACACAGCAGTGCTGCTGGAGTTTTTAAACACCTCAGTGTCACTGCTGGACTGAGAATAGTCCACCAACCAAAAATATCCAGCCAACAGCGTCCTGTGGGCAGCAATAGAGTGGACAGTGAGTGGACACAGTGTGTAAAACTCCAGCAGCACTGCTGTGTCTGATCCACTCAGACCAGCGCAACACACACTAACACACCACCACCGAGTCAGTGTTACTGCAGTGCTGAGAATGACCCACCATCCAAATAATACCTGCTCTGTGAGGGTCCATGGGGGTCCTGACCACTGAAGAACAGGGTAAAAGGGGGCTGGCAAAGTATCAGAGAAACAGATGGACTACAGTCTGTAACTGTAGAACTACAAAGTGCACCTATATAGTAAGTGGAGCTGATAAAATGGACAATGAGCGTAGAAACAAGGAGGTGGTCATAATGTTATGCCTGATCGGTGTTAAGAACATAAATAATATGCTAATTGTATGCCTGTTGAAATTATCATCAAAACTGATTTCCATATAGACACTAGTGTAAAATAGCTTCATACTAGTGGCTAATCAGACAGTTCAAAGGCCATGTATAAGCCAATTATAAGGTTTCTGCATTAAGCATTACTATATAATGACATTCACAACTGACTGATATTCATAACTGCATGGCAGTTATCTTTTATCTAAGTGTAAACAAAATGTAAAAAAAAATAATTTCAGAAAATCTTAAAAATCACCACTGTGACTGTTCCTTTTACATCTGTGCACTCCAGGTTACCACACTGACTTTATGATTATGAATATTAAATATTGTAGTGACCCGCTGGGTGGCGTGGCTGTAGAGACTCTGGAGGAGTGGCTAAGGCTCATGGTGGGAGCACACTTCTGATACCATTGTAAGGAAGGGGGTTCTCCGAAGAACCACAGAGACGTTAAAGAGTACAACAAAGAGAAAACAGGAGCAGAAAAAAGGTAAAAAACACATCTCTCTGGATTTACTGTTAGCTCACAGGCACTATAGCTCTCTCTCCCAAGCTCGCAACCACATGCACACACACAGCCCTGCCTTTCAAAATTAAAGTCCTTGCGCACAAACTGCATAAGAATTTCTAATAACTAAATAATCAAGCTTAACATGAAAACATTTATCTGTAAGTGAACAAGTCTACATCACTGGGCATGCTCTGATGCTACAATAATGTGGACATGCTAGCAATACCACCTCTATGATTAGATCACTTTTTATTTCCCAAATGATGTGTTTAAGTGGCTGTGCTTTTAAATAATCTCACATTTTTAAAATCACACAGAGCCCATGTGCAATCCACAGATTCATATATTACTGAAGCTACTGGCAGATTTAACTGAGTTACTGGCATATTTCACTTTTTTAGGGCATATTTCACTTTTTTGGGGCATATTTCACTTTTTTGGCATATTTTACTCTGTTATTGCATATGTCACTCATTTTTTGGCATATTTTACTCTGTTATTGAATATTTCACTCATTTTTTGGCATATTTTACTCTGTTATTGAATATTTCACTCATTTTTTGGCATATTTTACTCTGTTATTGCATATTTCACTCATTTTTTGGCATATTTTACTCTGTTATTGCATATTTCACTCATTTTTTGGCATATTTTACTCTGTTATTGCATATTTCACTCATTTTTTGGCATATTTTACTCTGTTATTGAATATTTCACTCATTTTTTGGCATATTTTACTCTGTTATTGAATATTTCACTCATTTTTTGGCATATTTTACTCTGTTATTGCATATTTCACTCATTTTTTGGCATATTTTACTCTGTTATTGAATATTTCACTCATTTTTTGGCATATTTTACTCTGTTATTGCATATTTCACTCATTTTTTGGCATATTTTACTCTGTTATTGAATATTTAACTCATTTTTTGGCATATTTTACTCTGTTATTGAATATTTCACTCATTTTTTGGCATATTTTACTCTGTTATTGAATATTTCACTCATTTTTTGGCATATTTTACTCTGTTATTGAATATTTCACTCTGTTCTTTGGCAAATTTTACTCTGTTATTGAATATTTCACTCCAAATTAGATTAAATATGGATTGAGTTTCACTCTGTAGAGGCAGTTAATCTCAAGCTTTTAGAGAAATTAAACGGAGAAACAGATAAGCTAGTCATCTGACATCTCAGCCAATGCTAGCTTAGTCACATCACAACTTATGTCAGCTCAGTCTTTCAGAGGGAAAACAGTGAGTGTGTTAAGAGTTTATTAGCTGGCTCCAAACGTAATAAATCCACTAAATGATGTGGACATTTTTATTTCATTAAATATAAATGATTAGAGTGTTAAATGAACTTGGCCCAGATAGCAGACAGTTTTGAGAGGACTCTGACTTTCCTACACAAGTATTGGTTGACTACCAGGCAGATGTTAGGCATGAGGGCCAGAGTAGGGCCAGATGCTGGACAGCTTTATATGGTTTTGCCTCATGTCTAAATTTTGGCATATTTCACTCTGTTATTGCATATTTCATTTTTTTGGCATAATTCCTTCTGTTATTGCATTTTATGGCATATTTCACTCTGTTGTTACGTATTTCACTTGGTTTATTTTGGCATATGTCACCAAGTTATTACACATTGAACTGCTTTTTGGTATTTATTACTCTGTTTTGGCAAATTCCACTCTAGAATAGCCTTTTAGCAAAACTGCTAGCTAGTTAGCAAACTATTGACACTATTAATGAAGTGTTATGTTTAAAAACACTCCACAAATCCATATTAAATTCTAGGTGACTGAGGTTCACACTGTAGGGGCAGTTAATCTAAAGTCTTTCAGAGAAACAGAGAAATCAAACAGAGAAACAGATACAAGCTAATCAACTGGCATCTCAGCTAATGCTCGCTTAGCGCATCATAACTTACGTCAGCTCAACCTTTCAGATGGAAAACAGTGAGTTAGTAAAGAGATAGTTAGCTGATTCCAGACATGATAAATCCCCTGACTTATGTTGAAAGTTTTGTTAAATCTAAATGATTGGAGTATTAAATTAGTTTGAATTCGCCCAGATAGCAGACAGTTTGGTGAGGATTCTGGCCTTCCTACGTGGGTGTTCGTTGACTACCGGGCAGATTTTAGCCACAGCCATTAGTTCTGCTCACTTGACAGTGTGTGGGCCTGACCTAGGCTGAGGACCCAGCCATATAGTGGGCCAGAGCAAACCCAAGGATGTGGACCACAAGGCCTGACATATTTTGCTAACTGGGGATGTTTATTCAGAGGAGTAACCAAGGGGTGGCCAGTTCCACCGTGGAATGAAGCTTGGTCAACTTTCTGGCCACCCCAGTTATGGGGAGTGAGACAGTCAGCCATCATAAATAAAGCATTACTTATGCTATAGGATCTGCCATCAGGGTATCAATCAGGTATGACAATCTGTTGATGCTGCATTTAATAATTAGCATATCTTGCTGTGATTGACTACTTTGCTCAGTAAACAGGTGAGTGAATGTGTGCTGGGTCCGCAGAGCTGCTCTGTGAGCTACATTATGAAGTCGGCTGTCTGATGGTCAGATGAGTAAACTATCAAAAATTAGTCAGCTATGATCATTTATCAGGCTAATTACTTTTTACAGTTGAATATATGCGTGTCGTAGGTTCCCTTATGCAGCACTGAGCATTAAACTCATATGTAACCTGTAATGAACGCAGCCTAAATTAAACACTTCTGTGGCTTGTCTGTATGAAATATTTTTTTCTTAATGTTAATTTTGTGCGCTGAGAAAAAATGATGCATTTAATTTAATGGATTCAAGCACATCATTTCCTCATGAATGACTAAAATATGTTACATCAACACAGTTTTGTCTTTCAGTTTTCTTTCGGCAGTAGTTGTACTGATGTATAATCAATGTGAAAAATGATGGACAGATTTAGTTATGTACAGAGAAAAGCAAGCGCATCAATTTAGATGTCGTTTTAATACAGTAACATTATTTTATTTCTAATTTTTTACTCAGTAACTCCACCAAAATCTCTGAGCCTTACCTGGATGCCCCTTCTAAAAGATAAAGCTACACCCCTGAGGATGTTGCCACTTTCACTGCAATGCCTGCTTTATGCTTAACCTGAGCTGCGTCCTTGATTTTGCTCTGATCTTTCATTTGTAGTGATGTGGATCCACATGCTGGTGTGCTCAATGTATTTAGTGAGTAAAAGAGCTTCAGGTCAAGCAAAATCAAGAAAATCAAATGGGAGAGGAAGATTCATTCAACTGTTGAATTTATTGAATTCAACATATTGAATTTGCTTGGACTGATCCTGCCACAGTAGTCGATCACCCATAGGACTGTGTCATGACATCACATTCCCAAGCCCTACATCCAGACCTCACTAGGGAAGCATGAGGAGGCAACGTCCTTAAAGGAAGGTCTGTTCTCTTGGCCACCATCTTTGCAACACTGTCAGGCAGTTAATTACAGCCAAACAAGACCAGACTCCTCTCTGAGGAGAGACCAAAATATTTGAAACTGATGGTCAAATTTCCATTTAAAAAACATTTGAAATCACCAGTAAAATCTGACAGGCATGTCAAACTGGGGACCTTCTAAGCCAAAGTGCTGTGGAGATCAGCGTTTACCCTCATCTAACACTCTGAATTCAGTTCATTAAGGCCTTGTTCATTAGCTGATGAGCTGAATCAGGTGTGCTTAAGGTGTCAGTGTGCTGAAGTCTGCAGTGTTCTGCTCCGGAGCTGCA